TTTCACGAGTTTGATCGAATTCAGATAAATTATTCGCCTACAATCTTCGAGGTGATAGTAAGTCAAAAGCATGTGACTCTTCTGAAATCGACAGCATTTTGCGATGCATTCATTATACTGAACAAATACTTTCTATCAAATTTCTAATGGCTCACAGAATTTTTTTTAAAACTGCAAGTGGATAATAATTTCGATAGCATGAAATGTTCTTTACAGAATAAGTGTCGAATAGCGTCAGTTGATTGTATGCTCATACTTTCGTTGGTGTCATTTGGTGGTTTATGTTTTGCAATCGTTTTCTTTGCCGTCGTTCATTACGGTCTTCGACGAACCTCTGAAACCGATCTGGGTGATTTCAAACCCGCAGCAGGAACGTTAGACGATACGGATTTGGGCCCAATCGAGACTTTAGGTTCGTGGATTGAATCACAACTGGAAATCATGTGTGCACATTATGGACAGGTGAGTCGAGACATTCATCTTTTATTTGTTTCAACTTTATAGATATAATCACTTTTTGTATTCCGATAGATTTATGACTGATATAAGGTGTTGTGAATCCACTTAACGCTGAATATGCATCAGATTGTCCACTTTAACCGAAACTAGCGAATAATGGAGAATAAAGATTGCAAAACATCGACAGGTTGATTACAGTCAGTTTTGCGTTGCAGTTATGTACTCGTCGTCCGTTGACGGTGTTTGCTTTTGGTTTATTTGTGGCAATGTTATGTTCAACTGGGCTGTTCTTCGTACGTTTCACAACGGATCCAGTTGAGCTGTGGTCATGTCGAACGAGCCGTGCTCGCATCGAAAAGAATTTCTTTGATTCCAAATTCGGGTCCGTTCCATTGCCACATTTGAGTGAATCATCACAAAATTCAATTGTTCTTGTAATCGAATGCACCTAATTTGTGGCGTGTAACGTTGAATCACCAGAAACTGGTGATTGTTGTATAGCTTAATTCAGTTTTTCAACGCAATTACTCGTCAACACAAACTTGCTGTCTGATCGAAATTGTTATTATTTCGCGCAACAATGTGAACTTTTCGGCATTCAGTGCTGAATGCTATCATTTCATTCACATCTTCATCGTTTTTCTCTAATTGATGTCCTTAAGTTCACTGAAATTGGGATCAGAAATCTTTCTGCCTCATCACAATGTTCTTTTGGTTGTACCTAATCTAGTTAGACGTTGTACACACGAAGCAATCAGATATCCGCATTGAAAACTTTCGGTTCGCCTTCTAAAATGGAATGCTAATTCTTTTGAATAATTCTCAAGCTTGATGACTTCATGCCTCAAAAATTTGATTAATTCGTCGGAAAAAGATCGTCAACATGATCACATCATTATGTAATCATCACTCGATACTAAATGTTTCTAAAATCCCGACCACCTCTCAATCCCGTGATAGGGATTTAATCCCCAGATTGAGGGACGGTCATAAACAATAGACAAAGCAACGATGATGACATTACGAATCTTTTGTTCTTTGCTGTCTGAATACAATTATGTATCAATTTATTCCTTTCAATGGTAAACAGTAAATATTACTGAATAAGATTAAACTGAGAATAGCTGATGTTTAACTCGTAATGAGTCGCTTTCCAAAGTTGTATATACTGCCGCGTTTCATCGAATCCTAAAACTCCAGGATTTTTCACAGTATAAATCCTCGGATTCGATGCAAACTCTAGTCAGTAACCGAAACGGAAATGAAACTCTGCTACGTCAAATAAGCAGCAGTGCACAGAGCTTCAATACTTTCCTGTACTAATGCTCGGTGTTTTGATGCTCCATTCAACTCGTTTCTATATTTTAAAAAAAAGTTTCGCGTAATCCAAAAAGAACACATCAGTTCAGTGGTATTGTGGCATTTCATTAGAAGTTGCAGTTGAAGATTGAACTTTTCAAGAACGGTTTGCACTAGAGTTCTTTCGAACGAATACTTACTGAAATTGGACAGCATAAAATTTGCAATGAAAGATTCAGTTCTGTAATGGTGCCACGCAACCGAGAATATGGTTGAGGACAAGCCCAAGTAGTGGGCATGGATTCGTTGACTGATGTTTGTCGTTTCAGACCATTTTATCGAACCGAGCAATTGATCGTCTACCCTCGCGATCAAACGTTCTTTTTGCACGATAATCAGTCGAATCTATTCGATCAAGGATATTACGGACCTGCGTTCAGGAAAACATTTCTTCATAATGTTCGTCTTATTTCGCATTAATTTTCTCAAGACTTTGTTTCGGAGGCACAGAAACATTCCAACATTATATCGTCGCGAATGCTGACGAATAACACTGAAAGATTTCAAGCATTTATAACAGACTTTTCGTCGAAACACTTTCAATCTTGATGATCAATTTCAGGTGTTCGAGTTGCAAAATGCGGTGACAGCTTTGACAGCACAACTCGATGATGGCACTTCAATTGGAATTCGCGATGTTTGCTTTAAACCAATGGCACCTGACAATATGAATTGCGCCATTATGAGTGTCCTTAACTACTTTCAGGTATTCGCATCTATCATTTTCACACACAGTTCATGTGGTCATTTAATGACCAAATCATCGACGAATCTAATTTTTCTCTCCTTGAATTCATCATCGTCAAGTATTTTCATATTATTTGCAGAATGAAAGGCATCTGTTGGATGAAGTGAATGAAGATGATTGGTCGGGTACTCAGTTCGATTACCTGGATCACATTCTCGCTTGTGCACAGTCAGTTATTTGCAATGTTGAGAAATGATGATTGGTGTGTCTGTAGGCAACTGATTCAGCTTTCGTAATTTGTGAATGTGCAAAAGTGAAAATTCTTAAGGAATCCGTACACAGTATCGTCTCCCCTCGGCATATCGTGCATCTCAGCATTCGGTGCTCCGATTCAACCGTAT